GCTAAAGTGAAAATATAGCTAATGTGTCAAAATCTTACTCAATCAGAAATGAAAGTCAGACAAAATTCACTCAAGTGAATGTAAAATTTTGCTACTTAAATATACTTAAGTTTTAAAAAAAGTAAAGCATTAAAAAGTATTAAAGTATTCAATATTAATAAATATTAAGTATTAAGTATAAAAAAATAAAACATCAGTGTTTATAACTAATGTTCAAACTAGTTTTTTACGGACTTTTAAATTGTTGCTGTGATGAAGTTTTCTGTAAAGAGGCTTTTTTTAAACCATTGATGGAAGGAGTCTCCAATGTCAGTCCTTTGTACCAGGAAAGGTATAACTTTAAGTTTTTTGAGACAGAGAGACTTTGACTTCTTTGTCTTCAGAGTCTTTGGATTTCTAGCGGTGTCTCAGCAGCCTGACAAGCTGCATCGATTCACAACATTCAGATAAGGTTAGAGATTTTGTTGATGTTTAGCATGGGGTAGATGCAAAGAACTCCAAAGTGGCAGCTTTTTTTCCAGGACCATGCTGCGTTCTCTGTCAGAGAGAATAACACTGCAATAATCTACATAATGCCTGCTGACTCTCAGACACAGCATCCATCTGAACATCTGAACTCAGCACCAATGACTCTTCACATTAACTTTCTTTTAAGTGTGGGAAGTCATTAGAGCTGGAATCCACAAGTCTGTTCACCCAGGAGTAACTTCAGGTTCCTACATGGATTCAGTATTAACCTGTGTGATTATTAAAGGAGAATATGACATGCAAGAAATATGCTAGTGTGTATGATTAGAGTGAGGGTTAAGTAAGATTAAGTGTGCAGTTATAGGAAAATAATCTCCGACAGTGTGGTGTGATGTGGCCCGATGCAGAGCAGGGTCTAACGCTGATTATTTTCCAGTAATAGCATGTCCTGAAGTGTTTTATCCGTCTTGTACCACAGCTCCTGCATAGTGAAGTGGAGCACAGAATGCTGGATTTCGTTGGCTCTGTACTCGTACTCTGCACAATGACAATAAAGTTGAATCTAATCTAATCTAATTTAATCTATGTAAGTTAATGCATTCATAAATGCATTTATCCTGTTCAGGATGCTGATGGATCCAGAGCCTATCCCGGGAACACTGGGTGTGAGGCAGGAATATGCTCTGGATCCAACTCCAGTACATTACAGGCTGTGTGAGTTTATGTGCTACGAATGTGCATAAAGCTACAGTATAGGTTTATAATAAATAACTGTTGTTTCTTCATTGTGAAAGAATTTATATACAACAGCTTCACTTTGTAAAATCTAAAAATGACCCAAAATAACCAGTGTATACAATTTCTTTATATGCCTGTGTAGCTTTAGACAATCATAAGTGCAACACTTCTATAAATGTACTACACTGTACATTACATACAATGTATCTACTTTAAAATACTCCTAAATCTATCCATCTATCTATCTAAAATATACTGTATATAACAAAGAAAGTTATTCTGATACTTTATAAATATATAGTGTCATGTTACAGAAAATATAATTGTCATCTACAAGTCATCATAGACCAAAATCAGATAGAGTTGAAGTAATCACATTGTTATTAATTATACTTTCATTACCGCAGCACCAATCAGACTCTCATGTTCAATACTGCAGTCAGTACTGCATGTTCCTGTGTAGAAAGCTCCAGAGACATGTACAGAACTCTAACTCTACTGCAGGAGTCAGGTCTACTCTGTCTATATCTGCTATTTTCATTCTAAACACATTGTGACAAGTCTATAAATATTTATCTTATTCATCTTACATTTCAGAGCAAACATATTTGGCATGAATGACAAACTTTTGCACACAAAGTAGGGAAGGACATTCTGTCCCGATACAGAGAACACAAAAGACATCAAACAAGAAATTTTGTATTGTTTTGGTATTGCCGATAACTTCCAAATTTGCTTCAGGAAATATATATATCTGTAACATTATTTATTTAAAAAAAACATTAATTAGGTGATTATTAAATGTTTTACAACTCATCCAACCACTGTAAGAAATATTGTTTTCTCTCCTTCCTATCTTGTTTACTCTTTTTTAATCCTTGTGCTTATTGGTATTAAGGCCTCAGCATATATACTTCATGTGGAGACAGTGTTCGGCTGACTTTCACAAACAATATGGCACAATTACGGAGCAAATGGACATCATGTGTCGGCTTTGCTCTCTATGTTGTGCATGTGGTAGCTAGGCAAACCATGTGGATGAACATGTTATGCATCCAAGCCTGTGATTGGTCGTTACAAACGAAACACGCCCAGTCAGATTCAATCCAAGCATTGCATCACATACCACATGCCTTCTATTCCTCTTTTCCTTTTCTCTCTTTTTTATCTCTTTTTCTCTGTGTATATATAAAAGCAGTTTTGTTTATGTACTTCCAACAACGCAGTAACTGATATTGCTGTTGGCACTTTGCACTTTTTCCTGTAGTTGTGGAAAATGTCATGAAATTTTAAAATGATTAATATATATATATACATAGATAGATATATATAGATATAGATATAGATATTAGATATTAATAGATATTAGATGCAATAGACAGGAAGAGTAACTCAAGATAATGGATGGCATTTCATTGAATTCAATATAAATTAATACTCCGAAAACTAATCATAACCATTTCTAACTTTTCATACAAGTTGACACATTCTTAATCATTTTCAGTCATGAGACTACACAAGCACTTCTACTGGAGTCTAGAACATCTGCTGAAACCCCAATGCATGAGGCTCATTTCCTATAGTCCAGATGTTTGCGATATAGCACTAAACTCAAACAGCTAAAATAACTAATCCTCTGCACATGTGCATATTTCATGGAATACAACATAACCTAAACAACGTGTGCCGTTTCACTTTATCAGAAAGAAAACTAGACTGAAAGGAACTATTTCTTCCATCTGCATCACACAATTTACATTAAGTTTCATAATTAACTTAAGAATCCCAAACAAACCGCCTTTCACAGCTCTCTGATATGTATTACACTCTGTATAGTGTCCATATATTGTCTTGTACGTTTCACCATGATCTCAGAACCGCCTTATTTTATTCAAGATAATTATGGGGGAAATATGGTTAAGATTATGGTTAAGATTAGATCAGTTACGTAAATTGCGGGTTTTGGGACAAATGTAGCTCATCTATAAAGTTTTTGCAGCATTTAGATTTTTTTTGCCAAAAGGCTGCAAATGCAATCAACCAACATTTTAATTTTGAGCCAAAACTGGCCCAGCTCCAGGCTCAACCAAGCAACAAATGAAGTACATCATATAGGTCTACACATAGGAATGTAACCTACTTTATGAGGTTATTACATATCCTAATCGAATAATTAATATGCATCACAAATTATTCATTGTATATTAGATCCTGACTCCGAGCTTTCATCTACGTCTCTTTAATGATGTAGGTCCATCTTCTATAAATAATCAGCCAGTCGAGGTTTAAACTTGGGACAGTATCTCATTCTCAAAAGCTCCAATTAGGAATGGCTTAAGTAGTACCACAGAGGTCATTGTAAATGTATGTATCTACTTTCTGAGGACTCTGCAATGGTTTCTTCTCTGAGGGAGTCAGTTTACTCAACACCCTGACTCTTGAAACACCACTGCACACCTGCACTTTACACTGCTGCATTGGACACTCATTATTGGGTCATTCCATCTCAAGTGGTCCGATACTAAACTCTGCAGGACAGTGGACCTCGAGGGCCAGATTTGAAGAACTCTGATCTATCATGTTGGTACAGGTGTACAGTTGGTATGCGTGAACAGATTTTATCCAAAAATGGAATTACAGTGTTCAGTTGGGTGTTTTACAAATGAACAGTGTCATAAACAGAGCAGTGGTGTTGTTTCTCCTGTGATAAAAGCAGAAAGTGACTTCTGACAGGTCTACTGTCCTGCGGAGTTTAGCTCCAACCCTAATCAAACACACCTGAACAAGCTAACCAAGGTCTTCAGGATTACTAGAAAATTACAGGCAGGTATGTTTGGAGGTTGAAGCTAAACTTTGATTTGAAGAACACTGTGATAGATCAATTGCTAATATCAAATGTAGTAACATTTCAGACCTCACTGACAAGCATAAGCTATTGTATGTCAATCATAAACATAATTACTATAAAATACTATTCATTTTAATTATTAGTTATGTTTATATTACATCTGTCTGTTTCTCAAAATGCATGAATAAAGTAGGCTTTTCCCCAGATTCCTACTAGCCCTAGCTTTGTAACCAGTGGAATCTCAAACTTAACATTTTTACAGCTACTATAGAGGACTTATTTCTGTGAAAATTTCAGGTTCATATCTGGTCCCCCACCAGAGATATTCAGCCCAAAATTTAGGGGAATTTAAAAAAATTGCACTTTCTCACCCCATAAAAAAAAAAGAGAAGTCTCAAACCTGAAATGTCCTACATGCACATTATACTTACCTAGGTACCCCCTTAAGGCTGAAGCTCGAACCCTTCCCATTATAAACTGACCCTAAAAGTGGAACTGTGAGCAATCTTGAGCAGTACAATTGGACTTAAGTTCTAAGTCTAAGGAACAAGAATGTGCAAAATGTTTATATACGTATATGTACCTTGTAATGTGCTTTAGAGATCAGTTTCAAGATCAGTTCCAATACATAGAGATAATCACTCAAAAAAATAATTAGAAAAATTAATTAAATCTGGCAACCAACTTTACAATTATTGGACCACTTGAAATGGACTGATCCTATTTATATTATTTATTTATGAGAAACTTTTTGCTGCTAACTTGATATTGCTGCTACATTTACGGCTGCTACACTACACAATAGTTTACAGACCACTGTTGCAATAGTTTTCCCCCACAACACTGTTCTTTTGTCCTGTATAGTCAACTTGCACTTTCCTGTTAATTTAATGTCCTGCATTCATCTCGCACTGTTTTGCATTTGCACTTTCCATAGCCCTGTAGGTACCTGGAGGACTAGTGGTTAGGCCAAAGAGCTCTCATCCACATGGCCCTGGTTCGATTCCCAGCCTGGGAACCAACCCCAGCCACTGGGGTTGCGTGCAACAGTGCGCTCTTGGTGCTGGTCCCAAGCCCGGATAAAATAGGGGAGGGTTGCGTCAGGAAGGGCAACCGGCATAAAAACTATGCCAAATCTTATATATACGGACCAATGATCCACTGTGGGGACCCCTAACAGGAGCAGCCAAAAGGGGAACAACAACAACAACTTTATATAATCCTGTGTACTCTGTCACTGTATTGTTATGTGTTGCACCATGGTCCTGGAGAAACAATATTTCATTCCAAAGTATACAAGCTATATACAGGAATGACAATAAAACCCACCTGAACTTGAACCACTGTAACTATGTGAGGACCTCAGGCAAGTTTTAGCACTGCTGCATTTAAGGAATAAAACACTTGTGGCGTGCTGTTATGGGAAAATAATCAATGACAAGGTGGTGTGACGCAGTCCAAAATAACATACAGCAGATTTACTCTTACCACCTCACCACCCTGAAGTTGAAAACTTTCCTATATTTTCCAACGGTGCCGTGGTATAATGAATAACGCACAGAAAATAATGTAAAATATTTACATGTTTGATGATCTCTGAGGTACTAGTTGAGCAGCTCATAACTGGAGCTTTTGATAATGAGATAATAACCTGAATTTAAACCTTGACTGGCTAATTATTTATGGAAGCTCCGTGTCATTGATGGTAGATGTACCTAATATGTAATTCATAATATATGATATATATACGAATTATTTGACTAGGCTAGGTGTACAACCATGGTTGGGAATCCCAATGCTTAAGTATTCTCTAAAATACCACCTTACTACAAGTTGATGCAATTTTTAGCCAAAGCAGAATACTATCCGGGTCATTTCAGGTAATTAAAAATAAAATATCAACACCAACCAGAGCAAGGGTTGGAGATAGGCTGAATGACATGGAACATGTATCTTAAGGCAGAGTGGGGTGGCTGGGGGTCTAGCAGCTAGAACTGTTGTTGAGGATTGACTAGTCTCAGTACCACATTCCTTGAGTCATATTACTTTGCAATGGCTCCTTTTATGGAACACTTTTGCTGTATTTTATGCTTGTCTGTTTGTGTCTGTCCTCCCTCACACTAAGGGGAGCCCTCTCTATGCTGGGTTACTGAATGCTACAGGCCAAGCGCTTCCTGGAAGTGGAGTATAAAAGAGAAGAGCAAAAGAAACTGGTGGACTCCATGTTATATGTAAAAAGCTGAAAGTAAATCTTTATAGATGCCTCTTACAGAGGGTGACTGTATTCAAGTATCTAGGATTGTGGTTTGACAACAGATACACATGGAAGAAACACATAGATTATGCAGAGCCCAAATGTAAGAGTGTGCTAAACATAATGAGAGCCATTGCGGGATATAACTGGGGTGCATATAAAGAATCCCTTTTAAGTGTCTTCAGAGCTCTGATTAGATCTGTTTTAGATTAATGCTGCATGGTATACAGAGCTGCAGCAAAGACCTCTATGAACTGACTAGACCTGAGCTGCAGTATAGGGGCTGTGCTCTGGTGTGCTTAGAACTACTCCTATAGATACTGCTGAAATGCCTCTAGCCTTAGAAGAGACAAATTAACATTGGCATATCTGGTGAGGCTATATGGGACCAACCAGAATAGATTTGCTGTGGAAGTACTTGAGGACTGCTGGGAATATTCAGTAAAAAAAAAAAAAAGGGAAGGTCTCCGCTCTAAATATATGTCATGTATTGTAAAAGTGTTAGATGCTCTGGGTCTAGTCTTTCTCATGCCTTGCTTTGAAGAAGTCCTTTTTCCTTGTATATCATACAGTACTAAGTAGTGTTGTAGTTGTATTGTAGTCAAGACTGCTATTGTCAAGTCCAAAGCCAGGACTAGCTGAGATCTAGTCAAGGCTTAAGAGGGTTGAGGCCAAGTTAAAATCGAGTCCAGATGAAAGCGAGAATGGGTCAAGATTGAGACTGAAAACCATCAAATCCTTTTCAAGGACAAGCTTTACTTCGACTAGTTGGCTTCATTCGTGCATTGTGTCAGTGGTTAGTCTGTTTTCACAAGAAAGAAAAGACAACATGAACGTTATTTTTTAAAACTCTCGGTCGTAATCAAGACCATATTTAGTGAGATGCCCAATGCCCAGGACTGAGACAATCCAAGTACAAGTGCCAGTAATTTAGACACGACGCCAAGTCAATACAGAAAACATCTTGAGACCAGACTCATGTCCTACAGCCCTAGTGTTAACTGTGTTGAAATGTGTTGATGTTCAGTATGAGCATCATAGTGTTTATGATCACAGCAGCAGTTCTTAGGTATCCAGTTTAGATTATCCACTGAAGAATGGATGAGTCTTGGGTATAAACTGTAATCGGGAAGTGCAATCTTTAGGGTACCATCCACATTGCCTGGCATTGTCGCTTTGTGTTTTGATTTCAAAGTCAACAAAAAAAAGTTACTGTAAAACTGAATAAAGGAATTTTTTTGGTTGCAAATCCCATCACTAATCTGTTTGCATTGTTTTAACCAACTTTTATGATCCACCAAATGCACATGAATTTCCACCCAACGTGAATCTCGATCTTGCCTACATGGGTAAAAAACTAACAAGGATTCATTCCATAGCAGTGCTCCTATAAATCCAGTGCATATTGTTGAAGTCTTCTGGAAGTGAATTCTCCAGGATTTACCAGCAATGTCTATGTGTCCAAACGGCAACATGTCTGACAGAAGAAATGTTATATGATTTCATGATGTATAGTTCAGTGTATGCCTGCTGTGACTTCATGACTTCATGACTTTGTGACTTGAAACAGCTGTGTTGGGGCAAGAAAGTCATGAATCTGTTGGCTCTTAGAAATTGAAATACCCAGTGTGCCCCAAGGATCAGTGTTTATTATTCCCCATAGCACTCTGTGTGTGTGTGTATATATATATATATATATATATATATATATATATATATATATATAAATACAGAAGAGATTGGAAACCAACTGGCTAAATTATATGGTTGGATAATGTGGAAAATATTGGATGTGAGCATGATTTCTCTGGGATGCCAAAGGACAAACACACACACAAACCACACACATACAGTACATATTATATATTAGGGATTAGGGACTAGGAGAAAAGCAAGAACAATCTTGTTCCCTTAATTATCCTGTTAAGATAGACTAACTACATCATAGTAGTAAAATAAATTCAGGGGAAATGACTCAAGAGCTTTTATATAGTACATGAACATAGAATTCTACCCTTTCAATTAATTAAACTTCATCTTTCTTATAATTGCTCTCTCTCCTTTGCTCCCTCTCTTGGTCTTTCGCTTTCTCAGTCCGACTTTAAGCTTTTAATCTTGGTCCCACTTTTATAGAGTTTATATAGATGTCATAGCCTTCTTTCTCCAGATAAGACAAGCTGAGTTCAGCAAAACATTTATAAAGTAATTTAACAAAAAGACCTGCTAACAAAAAGACAAGGTATACACCTTTGCTGTCTATCTATGTTCAAATGTTTTGCTAAAATTAATGAAAAAGCATTAATATGGTGTTAAAATTGGATCAGGTTTCTGAATAATGCATTCCAGATGACTCAAAATATCAGAATTTCCCATGTCCTACTAGTAAAAGTACAATCCTATTAAGCACCAGGACCTCCATGGATGTCTATTACTGGGCCTGACTTAAAGATGTCATTGGTCTACTTTTGGTCAATCTTGGACCACCTGATTTGGCCCCTAAATCTAAATATGTCCTTTCATTCATTAAATCTTCTTCACAGTGGATATGGAATTTCCTTCCCCAGAAAACTGGGCATGAGGTGGGAATACACCTTGTATGGGACACCAGTGCTTCGTAAATCACCATACACACATTCATTCACACCTAGGAGCAATTTAGCATAGCAAATCAACCAACACGTTTTTGGGAGGTTGGAGGACCTGGAGAAGCTGGATGCAGGCACGGGTGGAAGAAAACAGTGAAGCTGCAACACTGGCTTTAAATAATATGAAAGGAGTCTCCAGTGTCAGCTCTTTGTAACATTCAATACGTTTTCTACCACAGCAAAGTCTTCAAGAAAGAGGGATTTACGGTTTCTCTGTAACATACAAGCTGCATTTTTTTGGCCTTATTAACATGAAGAGAGAGCAAAAAGAGAGGCTGGGGAGGGAATGAATGTTTATAGCTGCTATAATGTAAGTGATAACAGGAATGAACTTGTCTTGCAGATGTACCACATTAAACGTGGGTATAAATGGTTAAAAAGCATGATGTGTTGTTCATGAATAAATTAAAACCTGTAACTGTTTGCAAATTACTGTCCTATAAGAGGAATAAAACACATCAGTATATGCTGTTATAAGAAAATAATCCACTTCAGGGGTAACAGTAACTCCATCTCACATCTGGCTGTATCACACCACCCTGTTGTTTCCACATCTGGCTGTATCACACCACCCCATTGTTCATTATTTTCCTATAAATACATGCTCCAAAGTGTCTCAATTTTTTCTTTGTTTTCCTCATATTAAAAACTTTTACGTGGCCCAAAATCTACATGGTCCATTACAGGTGGCAAAGATATGTCACTGGGATTAAATACTACTTAATCTCCGAGTTTTTTGTTCAAAAATTGTAATTGTTACAAATTTGCAAGTATAGTTTACAGAGTGAGTAAATATCAACGTCTTTGTTGGTGCATCTGTAATGATTCACCATTCCATGGTGATTAACAGGATAAATTTTAAAAACGAAAATAAACTTATGTAAGCCTAACACAGTCTAGAATGATGAAGAACTTATAACCTTCTCAAGAGTTGCAAAAAAAAAAAGAAATTTTAGAATATTTGAGATTGCTTATCACGGCCCACTTTAATGTGACAGGGAATGTTTTATCACATGCTTCTCAAGAGCTATGTTGTATAACTGCAAAGAGATGGACTAAGAGAGAGAGAGAGAGAGAGAGAAAGAGAGAGAGAGAGAGAGCGAATACTTATCCATGCTC